TGGGAGTCTGATAAATGTCTTTTTCTCCTCCCTGAAAATACATGCCTATTTAATTGCTTAAAACAATTCTAGTTTTATTAATAGGCTGATTTCTAATAAATATAGTTTAAGAAGAACAAATCAGATTTTGTATCACAAAGCAGGACAACTTTGGTTCAGTTTCAAACTTGGGTGTACTCACAGACATAAATTGAAATGATAACTTGTAGAATTTGTATCAATTATCTTATCCTTTTAACATTTTCTGGGAGAGTCTGTTCTATTAGTTTCCTGCTGTAGTTACAGTCTGTGTTGCCTGAGGAAAGTTTTGTAAATCAGATCTCTGTCTATCATAGATTTCTCATACAAAGGTCAGTGGTTCTTGTTTGACTGTTTGGTCCAAAGATCCATTCTCTATTATACAATTAGTATAAAACACAGTATTTTCAGTCAGTAGATGTTATTCAAAGCCTTATAATGATGAGAATTTAAGATCTTCGTGTATTGAAGGTAGTTTGAAATAGCAGTTACTGTACTTTGGATCCAGCCTGCCTCCATTTGTATCCTGACTTTGCTGTTTATAAGCTGTATGATCATGGGCGGTTGGTTGAACTTTGTCTTAGTGTCTATCTGTTAAGTAGAAATAATGATAATAGTACTTCATGAGGTTGTTGTGAGGATTAGATATGAGTAGTTCAAGTACTCATAACAGTTCTTGGCACATGGTAAGAATTATATAAACATTTGCTGCTGTTATTTTCGGTGGCACTATGTTTAGACCTGGTGACCTGGGAACCAGAAGTTTCAAATGCCTTTGTTCTATGACTGAGTACACTATTGCTGACCTTTACTGTCAGGTTTCTCTGTCTGGTTTCACGGGCATTAGTTCTTGTCCCTTCTCATGATTAGCATATATACTTAGGTTGTAATTGAAGTCCATAGTAAATCAGTGTTCCCAATGTTTCTGTTTTGCATTAGTCAGCTCTTTGGAACTATATTAATTTAATATATTGGGTATGCTTTATGAAAATACATGTGCATTTTAAATATTCATATGCTACATAAAGATAAGAATATGTTTTTCCATAAACCTTTATTTGGTAAATTCATTTTTTTCTGAAAATTATAGCAGTGTGTTATTCAGTTTCAGGATATAATGCCAGAGATATGTTTGAACTGAAACAGAGAAATTCTTTCCTTTACCCTTTTCTCTGCTTTCGTGAGGAACAACTGTGGTATTAAAGAAGCAACTGACGATATTAGAAAAGCAATGTGGAGTCCTGGCCCTGTCGCTAATCAGACATATGATACTTGGGTAATTCTAGCCCAAAGAAAGACTATATGATATTTCATTTTCTTTAAGATTCAATATATCATAAATAACTTTAATAAGATTCTTCTTACTTGGCTTATTGAATTGTTCTCATTTCTTTGTAGTACTTTATATTGCAAACCAAACTTCTAAAATATGTAGTTTATTTTCCTTTAATTTGTATATTCTCAAAATGTTCTAGGTAAATAGTTTATTATGATAGCACTCTCTTCAGAGGTATGTAAAAATGTCATCCAGAATAACATTTAGAGTCTTTGCCATGTCGTAGAAGGCTCTCCGTCATTGATCATTGATTCTGCTTCTCTATCTGACCTCATCTGGCATTCTCCCACTTTCTCCAGTCTAATCTCACTGACCTCCCCATTGCTCTGTGAAGATGCCAAACATATTCCCACCTGGGACTTCTGAATGCCTTGTTCAATTTGCCTGGAATGCTCTTCTTCCCATATCCACGAGTTTGCTCTCTCCCTTCAGTTAGGTTTTAGTACATATGTCACCACATTAGAGTTGTTCTGTAATCCTCCTATCTAAAATAGCCCACCACCCCCATCACTCCCTACTTTGGTTTCTTTATAGATCTCATCTCTGATAATGTTTATTTTACTTGTTTATTGTTTGCTTTTTCCACTAAATGTAAGCTCCATAGAAACGAGGACTTTGTTCTGTTTAGTGCTGTGTCCCTGTTGCGTCATAGGGATTTCAGTTGCATATAGCAGGCAGTCAAAATTTTTGCTGAATTAAGCAAATAAATTGTTATAATATTTTCAGTGCATAATTACCTTATGGACTTTAGAGCACTTAGAGACTTTATGAAAGCACTTTAAAGCACTTAAACCTTTAGATATATCTTGAAAGTGGCTCTGAATTATAGTCCAGTCATAGTATTCCGTTAGCCACCAGGATAGAAGAAATCTCAATACGTAAGAATATGAAAAAGATAGAACTGATCTGATCTAAAAATAAAGAATGCTTGATCTATGAGAGAAAATACTTACAGATCATCTAGCATAGAGTTCTTATTTTAAAGATTAGAAAACTGAGACATGGTTATATTAGTAGATGTGCCAGAGGTCACATGGCTTGTTGGTGGCAGAGCCCTAATTTTGTGTCTGTAATATACATGTTATGATTTTATGCAATTTACATATGAATGTGTTAAATTTTCTAGTAAATTTGTTTTATTCTATTTACTTGCAACTTTGCTATCATCTCTAAAAGAATATGCTATAATAGTATTTTCTCGTTCTTTTTAAGTTATACAGCTCTTGCATGCTACTAGGTGAATATGGGGGATCATCTTTGGGATGCTTCCGTCTTCTTTGGAAATCTCCGTTTAGGTGTCTCATGGTTAACAGAATAAATATTTGCTAAAGGCGATGCCTTATAATTCTACTTAAACCTGACACTTTGCTATATTACCTTTAATAATTCATTCTGGTTGCTTAGTTCCAGAACTGTGGTTGGGGAGGAGTTGTCATATATTTTTTCCTCTCCTTGTCACCTATACCCCACATCCAGAAAGTTGCCAAGTCCTGTAGAGCTTGCTTCTCTCCTGGTATATCTTGATTAGCAGGCATAACCCTCTGCCAGATGCTGGCCATTGCAGAAATTTTGTGACTCTGCATATAATTACAGAAACCATCCTCTAAGAAATCAGTCAAATTCATCAGATAATGTTGAATTTTGTTAGCGAATAACTAATAAAACTTCATTTAAGGATGACCAGTAAGGAGGCAGGGAAAGTATTTACGTGGCATTTAGTAGAGTGCTTTGGACTCTGGGTATCCCCAGTGAAATAAATTGCCCAGTGATAAAAATGCCCAGTGAAATAAAGTGAGGTATTATATTTAATTCCTCACTTTAAGAACGTGTTTTTCCTCTTGCTACAGGTTTTATTTGCTCAGTAACAATAAAAGCTTTTTTGTTGTTTTCAAGGCTTTGAATGAACTGTTTAAAAAGTCATCTGTGTGCGGATTGAGAAATTGAATAATTAGCTGCTTTCAAAGCTGCATAAGCTCTTTTAGCCCATCAGGTTAAAAAGGGGGTGGAAAGAGTTAATACAATTTTAAAGAGGCCTAATTTACAGCTAAGGAGTACCTGAGAGCTCTTGGAGAATTTGACACAATGAGTTAGATCAACCCCATTTTCATTTCCCTCTAGCTGCAGTTTGTAACATAAATAAATCCATGGTCTGTAATTGTTAAATGGAAGTATTTGAATGCCTCCTAGTGGCATATTGTAGGCTCTAATTCAGGAATTTAAAAAGTAATATTTATTGAAGGAATACTATGATAACCTATTAAAGCTTGTAAGTACAAGGTAGTAAAATCCTTTAATGATAACATCCCAAGTGAAATCAAAATACATTATTTGCCATATAAAACTGATTAAAAATGTGACTGGAAAAAATATAACACATATGGCAAAGATGAATATACTTTGAATAAAAATTTTTGGTTTTGGTTCAGATCAAATTATTTTAATTGACTTTTTATGTAATGGAACTACTTTGCGCTTAAACATAGACAAATGTGGCTATTAATAGGATTTGGATTGCTTTGTGTACATTCATTTTTTAAAATTAATTGTGGATTATTATGTAGTTTCTTTAAATATCTTTGTATAATAATAGAGAAAATGGTTTATAGAAAGTCTGGTTCATTTTCAGATTTTTTAAAAATTCTGATCTTTAAGTTGAATAAAATAATTTAATTGGTAACCTTGAAATACAGACTATAGCAAAACTTTAAAATGATTAAGAATGCTGATTTAATTATTGCTTTATGCATAAAAATGACTTTACATTTATGGAAATATAATTTAAAATGGAAAGAAAGTCATATTGAAAGAATTCTGATGAGGGTCAGAAGATGGAGGAAAAAGTGATATCCTTTTGTTAAGCACTAAGAAATGTTTAATTAACTGCTTACCAAAACAAAACAATTAAAATGGCAATTACCTTTAAAATAGCAACAATGTAATTACAGCTGTTGTGATATAAAGCTAGGAAACAAAATGTTAATCTGGAATGAACAGTTTAAATATGAAATTATGATATACTTGGCTTCCTGTAGTACAGCTGTCAAGCTTGGGCAGTTTGCTGGTCAATAGTGACATTCTATGTGTCAGTGAACAGAGTCTCTTGATACCATAACCCGCAGTTCACACATTACTGAAGCTCCAACTGTCGAACATTCAAGTCCCCTGATATTTTTGCAGCTTCCAGACTCTCCTGACTGGCTCATGTTTCATTCTTTGGCAATTTGCCCTAATGATATCCCTCAGGAGCTTTCAGCCTCTCTTCCTTTCCATATTTAATCATGTTATATTAATCTGAGTGATACACAAACTATGCTGTATAAATTGTAATTTCCTGCAATTTTTCTAAGATGCACACCTAATTTTTCAGTTTTACTTATGTTCTAAGTTTTTAATCCCAAGCTCTGTATTTTCAGATGATTATAACTATCTACATGATTCCCAAGAAGCTACTTTTGCTCTTTATATACGTTTCAGAGGGGCCTCTGAGACATAAGACTTTTTACATGTAGAATTGGTAAAGACAATGTGATTTATGTCATTATGTAAATTGTTCTGTGATTACTGTTCATTGTTGATACATTGAACATTGCTTTTTGTTTGGAAGGTCAGCAGCTACTTATTTTTGTTATCCTTTTACAAATTTTAGTTAACTGCCTGTATCCATGGATCAGCTGCTCTTCTATACCCAATGTATTGGCAACACATATACATCCCAGTGCTTCCTCCACACCTGCTGGACTACTGCTGGTAAGCTGGCTTTTGCCAGACTCCTTTAAATTTAGGTTTCATGATTAGATATCTGTTTATTTGTGAATTAGATAAACTTGGGGATATATTTAAAAGAATCACAGAAACTTACATTTTAATAAATAGTAAAGATGGCTTTTATGAAGGAAAAAATAATTCTGTTCAAAGGTAGCACAAATTTATACTTAGCAAACATAAAGTTCTTTAGATTTTGTGAATTTCTTCTGCAGTCATTTAGATAATGCAAAATAGGAAAAAATAACAGTCTTAAGTTGTGTTTAGGAAAACTATATAGAAGTTATGGTGTCAGTTAGAGAGCTCAATATCCCAGGTGTCGGAATTTGTCTGGCAAATCTGCCAGAAACCACATTGTTGCTGTCAGGGCATACTCTCGTTACCTTTACTTCAGAACACACTACTCTACCCCTCTTTTTTTGATATTAGCCCACCAAATACCAAGTACTGACAAAGGGGTTGTCTCTAATACAAGAATTCTTGTTTTTTGTTTAAGTCAAAGTCTCAGCCTTGAACCACCATGAACAGCAATGTTGAAAAGTACTGGGAGTAATTCTGAAAAGTTTCCTGGCATTAGACACAATTCCTAAGGGATCCCACCCAGTAACCAGGCCTCTAGAACCTCCTTGTTCTCTTCGCTGGAAGAATCTGCATACTTATCATGAGTCTAAATAAGGATTAGACTTCTAAATAGCAGCTTCTGGGCCTTCTTCAAAACTAGGGGGGGAAATGTTATCTTTATTGCATAATCATCTTCTGCAGGTGTAGCCTAATTCTTAAGAAATGTGATGGGATTTTTTCTCTAAACCATTGTGCACACACATAGAAGGAAACAATTTTGACCTTAATGTGTTTTCTTATTTCACAGCTAATGTTACTAAAACACAGCACTTTTAGAATCAATGCATTCATTTAACTTTCTTATTTCATAAAAGGCAGAAAGTATTAAGGATTAAAAATGATTTAAGTTCATACATAGAGGGTTTCTATTAACTTTTTATGACTAACTGTCTTCAGAGCAAGTGATTGTAGTGACAACACATGTACTTGGCCACATATTGATTATATTAATATATTGTTGTGTTTCCACAGCATGGTAATATTATTAGAATTGATAATGCTGTGAAGTAGGTGCCCAGTGACCTACCATTGCTATTATGCTGTTTGAGAACTAGAAAGGAGAAACTGTTTGGCAGGAAACTATAGGAATGTAGTTTATATTGTTAAGCGTTATACACACAAGTCTAAGAATAAAGCTAAATCTGTAAATAAGCCCTTTGTTATTCATTTTAGAGTTTTTCTTTAACCAACATACCTGTAGTATTTTAGCATTCCTTAAAGGGAGGGTCTCTCATTTATTTATGTTGACATATGCAGTAGATCTTTGTATATACTGTTCAGTAATTAAACTTTACTTATTTAAAAATATATGTTACAGCAGTATTTGGAAATATATTGATATACGATTTTATATCATGTATCTTTAGAATTACATTTTATATATGATGTTAGTGCCATCTTAATTTTTATATTAAAATGTTCTAACCTCTTAAGAGATAACACACCTTTAATTAGGTTCAATTATCTGTAATGAATTACACATTTAAGATTTTCTAAAATGTTATTTAGAAATTATTCTATGACACAGGCAGTTCTGTACTAATTTTTTCCAGAGCCTTTCTGATAGTTTCTACCCGTCATTAAATTCAATGAAGGAAACTTGTTTCATATTTCAGTCCCTGGAATTTTCTTTCTAGTTTCTAATGTCTGAAATAGCCTTTGGGTTGAGTTCTAACAGCTTCCATGCCAAAAACTCCCTGGTTCAAAGAGTGAATCAGTGATATTCAAACAAGAAGTTACCTGAAACTTCCTGAACCTTAAGGTCACAATGATAGGCTCAGCTTCTATCATAGGAACTAAGTAGTGTAATATAATATATTTTTTTAAAGAATAGCCATCAGAAAACTTGGTAAACTAAACTGTTTCCTAAGGTAAACGGTTTTCTTCCATTTCCATCCTTGAGGTTAAAATCGTACTGATCTACATGTAAAAGGGAAAAAAATTACAGATCATCCCTTCAATGTCACAGTATTTGATTAAATAATTTTTATGAATATTCCAGTTCAAAAATAGTATCATGAAGATTTGATAGGAAAAGATATATATTTGCTAACTCTTTGGCATGATTGGAACTTTCTGATTCCTGAGGTAATCCTACCTCCATAAAGTATTTCTGTTTTTGCAGCTGGTAGCTCTGCTGTGGGTTGGACTGTGGAGAGCCATAATGCCATCTTGTGACCATAGATGAATATCACATCTTGGTCCACCAATAAAGCCTTGTTACTTTGTTGATTCATCCATTCATTTGTTCATTAAACATTTAGTGACCATCTAAATATTTTGCCAAGCTGTGAATATGTAATGTAATGAATAAGATTTAGTTTCTGCCCTTGCAGGGTTCACAGATAGCAAGAAATACACACATACTTAGATATGCACACATGCACACACGTAGCACAGTACTGCAACATTATAAGTATTACAGGATAGGCATACAAAGGACCATGGATGGCAACACATGAAAAGAAGTGGCATACACTCCCTGGTAGCTTAAAGAAGGTGCCTGGGAGGAAATGACACCATCTGCATTTTTCCCTAATCAGCCAATATAAGAATACTTTTAATATGGGAAGTCTGTGATATTGCAAGGCATTCTTAACCTATCTGAATCCATAAACACATGACAGATAATGTGACTTTAGTGCTAGTAAAATTATTATTATCTATTATTTGTTCATGAATGATTGAGTCACTATTTAGGCTATATGACTCTTCTTTTTATGAAAGGAGCAGGTTTAGCTTCTGAGAGAATAGGTTTTTTAAAAAAACAAATGGAAAATTGTATACTTCAGACTACCCCAATAGACTGCTGTTATGGTCTATGTCATTGGTGGTCTCTTTGTAAGAAGACCTAAAAAGAAAAAAAAAAAGCTATTCTTAAATACAGATAATTGCACCAAAAAGAAGCAGCAATCATATGGAGGTTTCTGTATCCCATCTTTGCAAAATAACTACATTGAAAGAAAGATCTAGGACAGTTTTGCACACAGAGGACAAAACATCTGAGTTGCCAAGAATTTCTTCTTGACTTGATAATGCTCTAATCGAATTAGGAAATTTAAGCTAGGGTTGCAAACTTACATTTCATGAGATTTGGGTGATTTCATATTAGGATTACACAATCCAGTTTTTGTGAGAAAGAAACAACTATTCACTCTATATTCTGCAAAATGTAATTATTTTAAGAAATTAGTCTCTAGGTTAATAATATTTACAGTTCTCACATCTGTGTTTTGGATTTTATGAGAAATTGGTGAGAAGAGAACATGTGGATGTAACAAGTGATCCCATTTTAAAAGTTGGAAGTTATTGTATGATGACATTTTGCATACAAGCTTTTTAATTGATATTTTTATGCCAGCTTAATAATTTTTATAAATGTGTTTTTTATACTTCAAAAGATAAGTATGTCTTCCATAAAGTTTAAAAAAATGTTTTCCTAGATGTATTTGCTGGCACTTCAGTAGGTTATTTAGCAGTCCACTTCTGATTTTATGAAACTCTGACCCACCCATTTATCCCACCAACATTTGTAAAATGGACTTAGTAATTATTGTTTCTTAGAAGACTTAACTATTTTAAAACTCTTTCATTAAAATGTACTTTGAATTTCAGACTGCATGGGCTTTTCTGTACTATAAATCTTGTGAGTAGGATAAGCTAACCTGAGGTGAACTGGAAGTTTACGCAGTGACTTTAATAATTTTATGCTATTTTGGATATAGGCAGGGATTGAGATATTTTTGATCATGGGAGTTGCCTAACTTCATTTTGTTAAAGTTATCAAAACCTTGTTGTGGAAGCCTAGATTTGCTAGTGATATGCACTTTAGTCTTCTCTGGAGCCCCAGAAGGAATTCAGGGATGAGAACTTGAACTAGGGAAGTAGTGGAACAGTCCACATTTGTTCCTCCTGTTTCCTTTTGAAGGTAGAAAATCTCTTAGGTCTTAAGGATATCAAGGCCTATAAAAAGTTCTCAACTTTCAGCCGAGTGAAGTATCCAGAATATCAGATCAATTCCAGATGGTCTCTTGCATTCAAATTAAAAAAATAAATAGGAAGGAATAAAGCTACAAAGGGCAAAGACAACTGGGAATTACAATCTAGTACAATAAGAAGTAATGAACTAGAATGTACAGGCTAACGAGGAGTAAAATAAGAACTTTAACACTTACTTTGTAAATTCTGGATATATGGATTAGTGGTTAGCCATCTTTAAATAAATTTGGAACTTTTTAAGATTACTTTGAAATCTCTGGGTCTGTCAGGGTGCCTGTGTAATCTATTGCTGGTTCTCAGTAGCAAAGTGAACACACAGAAATTTGGACATCTCTGTTCTGATAATGACAATGATGTTTAGAAAATTATGCAAATCCTTTGAGAAACAGGATTATCTGTTTGCATTAACAGAAAAGGTGTGTGATAATAGAGCACGAAGATGCCTGTAAAAGAATTACCAAAAATGTTTTATTTTAAAATAGCTATTTTTTCATATATCCACTATTACCTTCGTAGATATCTGTCAATTCTCATGTTTTTCTGTTAGATAATATTTTAGGTTTGAAATGTCAAGTTGAATAATTTTCTTCTTGTATTTCATGAGAAGTATTTCTGAAATAACCAGCAATTCTTATTTTATGTATTAAAAATTTAGTATCTGTATTTTTTGCAAGAGTATAAAACCCATAGGGAATATATTCTGTTTATATTGTCTATTATGTTCCCAAGTTTCTATCCTAAGGCCTGGCACCTGCTTTGCTCTAAATATCATGTGTCGAATTAATTAATTCAAGATTATTCTCACACTTAAGTATTTTTAAATTTATTAAAATTATTTCATTATTAAAAGTGAAAGTTGGATAAATCTGAATTTATACAATTAAGTAAATAAAAGACAATGTATACGAGGGGAAAGATAGCACAGTAGGTGAGGAAATTGTTTCCTTTTGTACATCCACTTCCAGAACAGTGCCTGACAAACGATAAGTCATGATAAATATTTGCGACTGACCCTGTACCCTAATATTTGGTGACATAGGAGGTATGTATCAATGAAGATATATATTAAGACTATCATAGAAATAAGAATTTAATTGAATAGGAAAAGATGTGCAAAAGGGATGTAAATAAGTTTGATGATTAGGATATATTTGCTATGAGGTATATGGAAAAGATTCAATTCAGACTATGGCCTAGACCTTGATATTCTTCTTAAGTTAAAAACAAACCAACAAACAAACTTTTTAGACATTATAACTCTTGATTAAATTATAAATGACTTTATGATGTTTATAAAAAGCAACCTTAAGTTTAAATATATTAATGGCCTCTAAGATTAAATTTGAGCTTTATATATTGAATAATTTTGAATATCCATAATGTGTTATGCTGGAACTGAGCATTTAATACATTTAATTTTTAATCATTTTGAATTACTTATACTGTTGTTTCAGTTTTAATGAACTATATGAATCTATGCATATATATATTTTTAATTTAGTGCCCCAATGCCATACCTGATTGGAATACACTCCAGCCTCATAGAGGTGAGTATCTTTCAGACATGAGATAGTGATAAAATTAACTCATAAAATAATAGTTAAAACAGTTTTGTTTTGAAGGAATATCAATGGAATAGGACAAAGAAGTGACTCGTTTCATATTTAGAGTATGCTTATCATTTTTAAAGAGAACATTGAAATAATTTCATTTAAATTAACATACTAAATGACCTTTTTTTTATGGCATGAAATCCATAAAAATAAGTTATATTTGGTAGAAATCATATAAGTTTTAAATACTAAAACTTCAGTCCTTGATCAATTGCCTTTTTTTATGGCAACTTGAGATCATTTATATCTCTTTTTCAGACCTATATTTTGAAAGTCAAAATTTATGTACTTATGAGTCATGAAGTAAAATTTTTTATTTTGCAGACTTCATTATGTTCCCATTTATCAGTATATATATTTTAAATGTGGTTTTAATATACTAATCATTAACTTTAGAATATAGCCTTAAGTTTTAATTTTCAGTTCTGTTTGGGAATATAAAATTTAGTATTTTTTTTCCACCATTACCGCATCATTTTAAAATTATTTTTGTCATTTAAGTTATTCCTATAGTGAAAGACCTTGAACTATTAACACCATGAACTTGAAATTAGTGAGATTCCCAGGAAGGTCTTGGTATAGGGTCAGCATCTTAACAAAATAAGCAAAAGGCTTGAATTAAAACAAAGGATTGGGTCAATTGAGTGGTGTCATTATGCTGGATGCTGTCAGTTTTATTCAGATAAATTTATCTTTTTTTGCTGGTTGTACAGATTGTACTTTAACTCAGTTTCTAATGAGCAACCTAAATGAGTTAGCTTTGGTTTTCCTCTTAGTTGCCATCACTCTATACACTCCATCAGTCCTTGCTTTGATCAAAGATGAGTCTGTTGATATATTTTAAAACTCCTGAGGATCATATTGGGAGAGAGTCATGCCCCTTTAGGAGGCGCAGGTTGTGGATTCCGACCTGTACTCTAGCTTTGGGCATTTTTTCTTATCACAAAATGCTAGGGCAACATTTTTTATTTGTTTCACCAATAACAAAAAAAAAATTTAAATGAATATCTTGAGTAGGTTTGTTTGTAATATTGAAGTCTGAGTTGCATAACTTTATGACTCCTTATTTTTTATTCATTTCTAGAAAACTTATTCTTACATGCCAAGGTAGTTTCAGTGAAAGGATAAATTGCATAAAATGAAATATGAATGAGTAGGTACTTAATTTGTTACAAGATTATATGACTAGCATTTAGTTTATCAGTAATTTGACTTTATTTAAAATCTAACCTTGGTTGGATTGTTTTCTAAAAAGGGTCGTCAAATTTGATTTTTATATTAGTATACTTGTCGCTTCTTAATGAATCTAATAGGATACATAATTTTTATAACATGTTTATTTATTTATAGAGATGAAAAATATTTAAAGTTGTTGGTTACCTGTTGATGTTATAGGTTTTTTGCATAATGATTCTACATCAAGTTTTAAAACAAATGATTCAGCTTTTCCAAAATACTGTATAAAAGGGTATATATTTTAAACATTCAATTAAATTTATCACATATTCTTGGATACCTATAAAGAAAACCAATACTGTTTTTAAGTAGCAAATTTAAGAATTGTTTGCGCCTTAAAAAGTGTTGTCTTAGAGAATAATCCATTCTAACTTTAAATTGACTCGTATTATTAAATGAGAATATTTGAAGCCATGATTAGACTGGTTGAAATCTCTGTAGTTTTCATACTCTGGACTTATCTAAGTGTCTTAATAGTCAGCCTTATTTTATTTAATTGGTTTATTAGTGAATGAGAAGCTATACTGGGCACTTCAGGAATGCTTTTAAAACAATTGGATACCATTCAGCAACTTTCTTGTTAATCTATTACAAGATGATGTCAATCCCGCAAATTTCATTCTTGTTATGGCACTATTAGGAAGATTTTTTTCACTAAAATTTCTACCTTTTATGCTTTTTAATTTTTACCAAAATGGTCTCGTAATTAAAATATTGATACAGCTATTTACATATTTAATATGTAAGACTGAACTGAGTAAATGTTTGCTTCTTGCTTGGCAATTACAACCAATTTTTCTTTAAGGAATAATTAAAATATTTTCTTATTCCCTTTCTCTTGGTCAAGAGAGTTTCAACACATTTTATTGTTTTTTTAGGTTGGTGCAAAATTAATTGCGGTTTTGCTGTTTTTTTTTTTTTTTAATGGCAAAAACTGCAGTTAATTTTGCACCAACCTTATGTAACAACTTCTAAATGTATTTGTTCAAAGACATGAAATTAACATCCCTTAACATCTTTCTTTCAATTGTTTTAATGAAATTATGAGTAAAGGATGGCCAGAATCTTTTTAAAATACAAATTTCTTTCTAAAATAAAGGCTAAAGACACTTTGTTCTGCCTGAAAACTAGACTTTGGGGATGAACTCAAGGCAGACTAAGGCCTGCAGGTCATAAGGAATAAATTAGTAGAGGCTACAAATTTGAGGAATATCTTATTGTTTTAATGTACAATGGATTCTAAATAAAATGTTGACCCAGTTTTATAAAATCATGTGATTGCTGCCACTGTGTCATTTCTTTGTATTAATGTGCATAAGTATATTTGTAGCCATATTGTATGGAAAAGTTAAACATAGAGGGTGTGAGAAAGACTTCACTTCATACAGTTGTGCTCAATAAGCATTTCAGTCTATGTCTAATATTTTCTTATTTTTGAAGAAAAAGACAATTTTAAAAATTTTCTTAATTTTGTATCTCATAACTTTATGAGAGGTAACAGTGTAGACACAGAAAGAGGTACCATTTTATTTACCACATGACTTCCCATGCCTATTTAGAAAAAAAAATAGTTGAAGTCTAATTTGGAGAGAAAAAATAGATAAAATATTGATACTAATCCAAATTAAAATAAATTTGTTACTCTCTATTTTTTCCTTTTTTGCTAATGTATTAATAGAATTATTTTCATGTCAGGGAATCTCAGTTTATTAATTTGAAATGAATTTATTTTTCTATTCTTTTTCGAGTGGTCCCTTAAATAAAATTTAATATTCAGCAATTACCGGGTTTTTAAAACTAAGAGCAGTTTTGAAAAAAGTGTACATGTCATAGTAGTACCAATTTCCTTGTTCTGAGTTTAGTGATAATGTCCTCACAAAACACTTTGTGGGCACATAACCTTATCTTAGGCTATTTACAAACTAAGTCATTTTATCCCTTAACAAATATGTCAGGTTTATTGGATTATCTTTATAGTTTCTGTCATAAAATGACAACTTAAAGTTGAAGATGAAAATCAAAATTATGACATGTTTTTTACACAAATGTAATTAATATAATTTATATTTTTACTTATAAAATAGGTTATTGTAGTCATACTATAGTTACTTTATAGGTAACTACACATATATGTACTTAAAGCTTTTTACATATTTGTAAACATGTGAAAAGAAAAGGAAATGAGTGTATTTGTAAATATTTTTGAAGTAGTATCAATAGTATCACTGTAGGTGATTCTCTGCTAATATCTTAGAAGTGGCCATCTTTTAAGTCTTTATAATAAAGAAGACAGATTTTTAGAATCATCTGTTCTCATTGTAGACATTAAGCCTTTCTTAACATGTGGAAATTCTCTGCTTTAGACTACCATTGCTTTAGAAAGTTTAACATTCTAATATGCAGAGATTTGAAATTGTAAATGGATCAGAGAAATTTTAATTATGATCAATTTAAAATAACCAGTTTGGCTAATTTAAAATATAAGGTAATAAGGTTTTAAGTGATAATTTTCAAAAATGACTATTATTGTAGACCACCACTTTAAAAATACTACACTAAAATTATTAACCTATTGCTAGTTGCTTTATACAATTATAAAATTCAGAGTTCACGAATATATTTAATTAATGAGCACTTATCACTAAAGAATAATACTATTTGTTACAAATTAAATAAGACTAATAAAATTATATGAATTGTTTAAGTATACCTATTAGTTTAAGTAGGAAAAATGAACCGTAAGTATTTTCTTTAAGGATGAAAAATATGATAAAATTCTTATTTACTATTATTTGTAGACATATTGAGATAATTTGACTATTTTGATTAAACTTTCAAACAAATGAGACAAGTCAAGATAGTCTGATAGGCTATTAAATTTGATACCTTCTATTGAAATTCATGTGAGAAATATTACTAACAATAAATTCCATATTACTATCCTGTTATTTTCTCTTATTCAGCTTTCAGTCCTCATCATCAACATATACGTTTTGGTATGGAATATAGATAGAAAATTTAAATTACAGTTTAATGCTGTAGTCATAGTTATTGGTTTATGTTATCCTTGCAATATGATTTTTGCTAAACATAGGTATAGAGCTGGCCACAAATTCTTCTATCATGGGACTGAAATTAAGTGGAAAAATTTTAAAGTATATAATTTGTTTATGGTTTGATGTAACTGTGCCTATTTTATAAGAAGTTTTGTTGTTGTTATGTTTAATATAAGATGAGCAAATATTCAATTTTAAGCATTTTTACTAAATCTTTTCGTATAGGTTGTAGTCAGACTTTCTCAGGAGGCAAAGTTGTTTCTATCCTTTTATAATATAGGATTTTCCTTTTTTCTTTTCCCAAGCCTAATGCGTTAAGATAATATTTTCTGTTTCCAAGCTCATCATAAACTTTGTAAAGTAAATATACTAAGATTTGTATTCATAATTGTGTTTTTTTAATAGAGAGTGAAAAATAAATCATTGGAAGATGTTGTTATGTTAAATGTTGATACAAACACATTAGAATCACCATTTAGTGACTTGAACAACCTACCAAGTGATGTGGTAAGTATGAAGGCTATTCAGTGGTGAACATATATGTTTTCTCCTGGACCTCTGAATTACTAAGTTATTTTTCCCACTTTTAATATCTGAAATAAAAGGGTTGGGTATTTGCATGGGGTGTTAGAGGAATCAATGTTGATTCCATATTTAATATTTTTACCTTTTAGCAGTTGAGATTTTGAATGGAACATCATATTCCTTATTGTAAAAGTAGGATCATAATTAAAAAGCTGAATGCATTCATTAGGCAGAGTTTCTTTAAACCTAAGTCTCTTCATCTCATCTTAATCATTATATTACAAAGTAGGCATTTCTGTCTGCCTAGTGGCATGTCTTGCAAAAGAATGAGAGAGAGTTTTTGAAGGCAAGAAGAAGAAGGGGGCCAATTATCGGCTTTTGCTTCCCTGCCACCTGCCAGCGCTTTTCCTTTTAATTAATGATCTGATGTTACTGGTCAATATAATAAAAAATGCTTGTACAGTTGGGGTCAGAAAATTCTGGCTTTGATCTCCCTCAACTTTCTGAAACATTTATTTGTTTTCTCTAAATTATTTCAGTTTTATTTTAATCTTTTCTATCCTGCTGAGGGCCGCAAGAATGAAAACCTACACTGTTTGTCATTTGCTTTGGCAGAGCAAAGACTGCTTACTTAGAATTCTATTTGTAAATTAAACTGCAAACCCAGTTTGTCATAAAAGACATCTGATCCTTTTGAAATGACGAAAACTGTCTTTTGTCTGTAAAGGCTGATAAATTAAGTGCCAGTTCTCTTCTGGTCTTTGATCTTGCGGAGGGTTGTGTGTGTGTGAGTGTGTCTGCAGCTTATAATGGGACATATTCTGTATGTCATGTTAAATAGTCTCCAAAAGTGCATTATTTTTGGCCTTCATATTCCTTAGTATGGGACAAAAATGCAAACTAGTACTGTTTCTGTATATATTTTAATGACTACTTAAAAATATCTTTATAACATAGTTCTAAGTTAAAATAACTTCCTTTTAAAAAATCAAAGCATTTATTCTTTATATGGATATTAAAATTTGGGAAAAAAATACCTTCAGAACATATTTTTCTGTAATATTGAACTACTTTGAAATCCATTATTAAGGAATTTGAGAAAGTGAATTTAAAAAATCCTAAACTCAAAAATCCACCAATACCAGCCTTGATTGTCCTTCTGTCTAATGATAGGAAAAATACGATTTTAAAGTCAAAATCAGATTATTTATGCCCATAATAACCTAAAATACTTGCTGACCTTGAGGCATATTAAAATTGAACTACCTTATCTTACTGTAGTAAAACTTTTGCTATGAGTGTACAAATCTAAACCTAGGCCAGTGAACAATTACATCTTTTTAGCTTATTATAACTAGATTACCTCATTATAAAATTTTTGCAAAAACAAAATCACAAATAAATTATTAGAGTTATTCATTTAAAAATCATTCAAAGTGTTTTTCACTGTATAGAGAAATAATTATGAAAATAGAATCCTAACTTTTAGGAACGCTTTCCTTATGTGCATGTACTTCCTACTGTTAATATCCTAGGGAGAAAGATTGTTAAAAAGAGAAAGAAGGAAAAAAAGAGAAAGAAATTCAGCTTTCCTGTACATGATATTAAAATTTTTATAGGCAGCTTCAATCAATGAAAGATGATTCTTGAGAAACATAATCTTTGAAATTTTATTTTTTGATGGGTGATTCTTTTTTAAATTGAGAAGTACTACTTTCCTAGTAGAATTAGTTTGATGATTAAAACATTTATTTAAATATATGGAAAAGTTAAATATTCACACATGTGAAGGTCTAAGTATATAAAATGACAGAAGGGACCATCTTATTATTTACTCATGAACAACAATGTAAACATAACTGAAATATTTAAAAATATAGATAAAAGTTATACTGAAAGGTGGTATAAATTGATTAAATAAATATATGCTTGAAATTCAGGGACACAGGCTTACAGAGAAATTTAAAGAATAGACAAAAATTGTTCTGAGATGGAGCTAGGACCATTTACTGAAAGTATGAGATGGTTTAAAGTTATAGTAATTTTCTAAAAATATTTTGGGTGATTTTTAGAACCCATTTCTAATAAATTTAGCTTTTTCATCTGTTTTCTATCTCTTATAATTTTGGAGGAAATAGGATGAAGCATCACATCATATTTTAGAAGCTGCCCTACCCCCACTAGACAGAACAGGACAATTGTAAATGTTTTAAATGAAATGTGTTAAAATTGCAAATGATCTTCCTAAAATTTTGTGTGTGTGATTTAAATTGATAAAATATACTTGAAACCTGAAAAATGTTACTATTAGTATTGTTTGATTGTTTAATAGGTTAACTGAGATTTAAATGGGGGGGGTCCTTTTAAAATCATTCACCAAAGCATTTAAATTATACTTATGGGCTGGTTGACTTTCTGTGCATGTGTACTCTATTATTGTGTCAGATTGACCAGTGGTCTTGGCTGTTCAAAGGTCAGTGGTCACAGTTGTCCTGAATTACTAGTTCTTTTTTCCTGTGGACCCTCTGCTGTGTTGCATGCTGTAATCTTCTTAATGGCTTCATTCCAATATTCACACATAATATTTTAGATTTATTGACTGTTAGAAATACTACCATGCCAGTAGCAGTTCCGCTACTCTTAAGGTATTTAAAATTGGAAAAATAAATCAGGGCAAAGCTTTCAGGATTCCTTTGTTTTCCTTAAGGGAGGGGGAAAACCTCTTTTCCTGTCTTCTGACAAGAACACTTGTTTTTTGATTTCATCATTTCACTATAGATTTGGATCATTAAAAGAAAAAAAACAAATATTTTATTGGGAGTGATTTTAACGATATTGATTATTACATGGAATAACTTTTAAAGGCAGTAGATCCAATAAAATATACTCTTGTAGTTTTTGTCTATGAATATATTGTGACTTTATTTTTTTAGTGGCTGTGCCAAATAGACACCTTTAAACATCTGTAGTATAGTTTAAATGTTTTGAAATAAAAAAAGTAAATGTTAGGACTCAGTTACAGCATCAATCAAAGTTAGTGTTATTGTGGTATGTTCATAAGGGTGAGAAAAAGAACCAATTGAATTAAATATAATATTTGAAATCTCAAATGAGTTGATTTTAATTCATGAAAATGCAGTATTAAAACCTCCTATTCCAAATCTGCATACAATTTAGTTTTAATTGCATAATAATTTAAAATGTATTTCTGAGATATTCCTGCTCATTTTAATTTTTATCATCAACATTTTAAAAAGCAATTTGGAGGTTGTTACTATTTCAAATATAAATAGGATTACCCTCTTACCAGGAATTAAGCTAATCATTAGAATTATAAGATTTAGGAATTCTCTCCTCATATGAATATTAAATTAAACAATTATAAATTCCTATAGATGAAAGTACATTAGAATTGACATCTGAAAAAGTTACATGTATTACAATATTCGTTACAACAGGCAAGTTTTTTGACCTGTATTGCTTAACTGTCTCTAATAATTTAAACTCGTTAGATTGTAAGAATAGTAATAATATTGATAGGTGAATATGCTATTCCTATTTTAGATAAGAAAATCAAGGCACAGAAAGTATACTGTTAATGGTACATCTAGAGATTCAGTTCATAGAGGTTGATCCTCAGGCCTGTGTCTGAAACAGTAGACCATGGTCCCTTTCATATAAATGTGATATACAATGTAATGAATAACTCCTTTAAAATATATTATAGAAGCTTGCTTGCCACTTAAACTTGTTAAAGAAATATTAGTTTGATCCATTTGATTTAAATTAGGATTTTCAGCACTATTTTTAAAACTTCATTTTCGTCTTATTGGAAAATAATTTTGTGTTTTCTACTATGAGGGTATAGAGAAAATATGGTACACTTAAGAATTATTGTACAAGTCACTGTAGACCACTGTTACATGATAGCTATATTTTGTATGTAGCATATTTCATGACTAAAACATTGAAAAGACTTTATTATAATGATGCTATCTAAAATATCATGTATATTATAGTGAAGCTTTCAGGAATCATAAGAAGGAGTGCCTTAAATGGTTTTTTTGTGATAAAAAAAAAGAAAGACACGAATTGCTCTGAATCACCAAAAATCATTAAGAGCATATAAGAACTGGAGAAAGTCTCTAAATCTCTGATATCAAATATTTGAATATCTACATTCAAGTGAATTTATTAATTTGGGGATAAGCTTGAAAGAATTAGTTTTTTTTCAGATAATTCTAAAATAAACTTTTTAAAAAATATTAAGTTATGTAAGCAAATTAAACTCTTAGAACCACACGGACTGTCAATGGATATGTTTAATTCATTGAATATTTCCTGTAATCTAACATGAAGGTTTAACATGTTAAATTGTCATAATATATGTTATAAAGAAAAATAGGCCCCAGAGAATATTATATTAGTTCCAGGTTTGCCACAGTTCTGCTGTTATCCTTATTGTGTTTAATGGTAAATGAAGTCCCTAACAAATTTCTAGGGTGGTCAGGTTAGAAAGATTCATTCAGCTTCTAGAGTAATTTGGAGAACATTTTATTACTTCAGGAGACAAATATTGCTTTTAGTTTGCCCTTGGAAAAGTATAGTCATGCTTTTTCTCCTCTCAATCTCCAATTGGTAGAATTCAGGCATCTAGTTGTACCTTGCTCCCACCACACAGCCTTGGTACAGTGCTTCGTAAATAGGCGTTCAATACGTGATTGCTGAAAGGAAATATAATTGCACTTCTTTTATCTTTAGTAATAGAAGCTTGCTTTTAAAGTCTGTTTACAGTTACCTCCTAGAACATTTTATAAGGATGTTTCCATTTGACTTTAATAATAATGAAAATGAGAAACCTGGATGCATATATAAAATATACTTTTTTGACTATGAGTATAACCTTTTATTTCCTGTGTTTAGAAAAAGAGACCATGTTGTGATGGCAATCATTGTGCTTCTGCATACCCAGCTGAATGTCT